CCAGACAAGAAAAGCTAAAAGAGTTTATCACCACTAAACCAGTATTACATGAAATGTTAAAGCGTTTTTTTTTTTTTAAGGAGGAGGAGGAGGAGAAACAGATAAAAAATATGAATAATAGAATGGTAATAAGTACATATCCATCAACAATTGAATCTAAAAAACAAAATCAACTAACAAACAGAACATAAACAGACTCATAGGTACAGAGAACATTTTGATGGTTGCCAGATGGGGTGGGGATTGGGGGACTGGGTGAAAAAGGTAAAGAGATTAAGAAGTACAAATTGTTTGTTACAGAACAGTCATGGGGATGTAAAGTTCAACATAGGGAATATAGTCAGTAATAGTCTAGTAACTATGTATGGTGTCAGAAGGGTACATGATTTATTGGGACAATAACTTAATAAGTTATATGTCTAATCACTGGAGTGTACACTTGAAAGTAATATAATATTGTATGTCAAGTGCAACTGAAAAATAAACAATGATGAGAAAAAGAAAACATGACAAGTAAATGTACTTTGGGATCCCGGGGAAAGGGACATAAGTGGGAAAACTGGTGAAATCAAATGAGGTTTGCAAATTAGTTAGTAGGGTTGTGCTTATGGTAGTTTCCTGCTTTTCATGATTGTACTATGATAATGTAAGATGTTAACATTAGGGGAAGCCAAGTAAAGTATACAGGAATTTTTTGTACCATTTTTGCAACTTTTCTTTAAGACTAAAAGTATTTCATAATAATAAATTTAAAATTAATGGGATGTTTTCTAGCATCGTCCAAAGGCAACAAAGTTAAAAAAAAAATCTATGTGAACTTAAGGATTTAAACATATTTGATTAGTTTCAATCTGTTACAGTTAAAATTGTCCCATCTTTGCCCAGTTGGAACATACGGTGGATCCTGAGTTATTTTTTGACTCGGGCACCCTGAGTCCTCATGATCCCAATAGTTTGATGAGTTTCTTGTTTTCTAATATGTAAAAATATTTATCCAGCTCCAGGTCTGGAATCACCCATTTTCCCAAGGATTTCTGGTTTCTTTTAGTGGGCAGTGGTCTTTAGAGAACATAATATGGGTGCTGGGGGTGCTGATTTTTACTGTATTATTCATTGTTTTGGGGCATTTTCAATGAACAGAGCTAGGAAATATGTTTTGTTTCTTTTAAAGATAAAAAGCACCATAAATTAATGCTGATACTTCCAATTCACTTACAGGATTAACTATAGGGTTTTTACTTAGTGTCATTGATCTTACATTTATATTTTCTTTGAACTATGTCAACATTGTTTGCTCTCAATAGTAACATAATTACTCATTTAATACACACACAAAAGTATCAGTTCCACTATTACCACCAATAGTATGATTTCTGAAAACACACACACACACACACACACACATTTGCACTTATTTTTGTCCTAAGATATATTTGACTAAGGATGTACAGTCAAGCTACTTATTTTAAAGTCACTTAGAATACTTTCTTTCTGAATGGTTATGCCACGAAGTAATAATTAGATTATTTTATTTCATTTTTCTTTTGTTTTTAGGGACAGTTACAATATGAATTTTTCTTTATGACCGTGTAAAATATTTACTGGTTCCAAAATCAAATGTATAAAATAAACAGTATATTCAAAGAACTCTAACTTCTCTCCCTACCTCTTTTACACGATCCTCTCACTTTGCTTAGAGGTAACCATGTAAAAAGTCCTATTTTATCTTTCCACTTTGTTTTAATGTAAGCATATGTATGTGCACATGAATCCATACAAAATGGATGACTTTTCTTAGAAAATGATAACAGAGATACATATTTTCTTCACCTCGCTTTTCTACTGGAAATTCTGGAGCTGACTCCATAGCAATATATAGACAACCTTTTTCCCTGTCTACAGCTGCGTAGTTCATTCGTTTATTCAACCAGTGTGTTATTGATGGACATTTGGGTTGATTCTGGTCCTTGGCTTTACAAATAGGCTTAATGCCGAGGTCTTATTGACGTCGCAAAGCCTCGGGGGAGGAATCAAGGAGTAAGCTGCTTGGGCCACCGGCTCCTCTCACGGAGTCTGGGTTTTATTCTGCACATCCGAGGATGAAATTCCCATTCTTCTGGAACTGTAGCCATAGGTGGATCCTAGTTCTTGGATACCTGGGAGTAAGAGGTCCTTTTAAATTGTGTTTCTCATGGGGGTTAGTATGAGCTGGGCTTTCTTGGTGATTTTGACAGGCAGTTATCCTGAGGAGCAGTTGGAAAAGAAGAGAATATGGTGCTAGACAATGACCAACCCATGCAGAAAGCTTTCAGACCCACACACAGATGCCTGGTTTCCCTTTAGGAGATTCATTCGGGGTATTCTACTCTCTTGTACTTCTTGTGTTAGCACTGTAGCAGGGGTTATATCTTTAGGACATTGGTTATACTGTTTCTGATCAGCCTCTCCCTATCTTTTTTCCTCACCCTAACTTCTTTCTCCCCATATTACCCTAAATCATAGTGTCATTTAGCTTACTTCTGCTCTGACAATCATGGTGTAATTTTTTTTTTTAAAGTAAACCACACTGTCCTGTTTTCATCTACTTCTCTGACTGCTTCAGTGTCTCTTTTTTCTCTTCCTGTCCCTTAAAGTTGGTGTTCCCCACGGGTCTATTCTTGGCCTTTTTCTCAGTAACCTTTTATGAGTCCTTGATTTTTCAGAAGTAGCTTTTCAGTGAAAGCTGCAGATTTACTCTTTCCTCAGAAAAATGTACATTTATTCCTACCTGTATACAGAGTTGTGCATATAGTTTCAAGGAGTTCACGGACACCCCTCTATAAGCACAAGTTCAAGGCCGTCTTCTCTCCCAGGACCATCACTGCCATTTAATCACAAATGACTCCCAAATCCATCTCATGCCCAGCCCTCTCTCCAGGTCCCCACTTCCTCACGGCACCCCTCCCGGGTGAGCCGTAGATCTGTGGAACGTGTCTGAGGCTGAGGCTGCCATCTCCTTCCACAGATCAGCTCTTCAGTCCCTGTCTCATTGGGTAGCTGCATTATTTGGTTTGCTGTCTAAGCCACAACCCAGGAGATATTCTTGATTTCTTCCCTATCACTCTCCACATCTAATCAATGACTCTTCAATGGGAAGACCCTTTGCTGTCCCCCATGCCGTAGCCCTAGTCCAGGCCACCACCATCTCCCACCTGGATGGCTATAGCGGCCTCTTAACTGGTCTCTGGCCTCTAGAAGCAACCTCTCTCCACCTGGGTATCTATTTTTGCACAGTAGCTAGTGAGAGCTTTCTAAATGGTAAGTCCCAGGAGGCCTTGCATGACCTCTCCCTCCTCACGGCTTGCTCACAGTGGTTGCCAACTTCTATATCTACTTTTTCCAGGATCTCTTAACTGGTGGGAGCCAAGGTGAGATTTGATATAAAACTTAATTTTGCAAACATCTTATAAGCCATCAAAGCAGGTCCAAAGATCACTGAATAGAACAGGGCCCAACCTGGAGAATCGGGACCAGATCACAAACACTTACTGAGGAGCTTCTATGTACAAGGAAGTTCTGAAGGAGAAACAGAGATGAGTAAGACAAGGTTCTGTCCCAAGGGCCTCAAGTCTCTAAAGGAGTGGACAAAATAGGCATGTTCCAAACCAACTATTCAACAGAATAGTTAGTTGTCTACCACTACCTGACTTTCTAATGTAAAGGAAACAATTAAATGTCTTAAGAAAGGGAAAGTACTATGGGGACGCAAGTGGGGATAGATTAGTGAAGTCTTTGGCAGAGAAGGGTTTGAAGACTTGAAGGGCGGGTAGAGAATGGTCCAGAGAAGGTGGTCAGGGACTGGGAGAGCCTCCAGGCAGAGGGACCTGGAGGAGCAAAGGTACATACTGTGTCCTTAGAAGTGAGCCACAGTCTGGCCGGTGTGGCTCAGTGGTTGAGCATCAACCCATGCACCAAGAGGTCGCTGGTTCGATTCCCAGCCAGGACACATGCCCAGGTTGTGGGCCTGATCCCCAGCAGGGGGCATGCAGGAGGCGGCCAATTGATGTCCTTTCTCATCAATGTTTCTATCTCTTTCTCCCTCTCACTTCCTCTCTCTCTAAAAAATCAATAAAGGAAAATAAAAAAATATAAAAAGAAGTGAGCCACAGCTGGAGGGTTTTTGGGAGCTGAAAAATGGCTTCATTTGCATTTCTCCACATTTGCATAATGAAACCCTAAAATGGTTCTGAGGTGTCATGGATGTTACCACCAAGTATGGTTGTTGTGCGTTTCACAGATGGAAAGGGTGAGGTTCAGAGCAATTTAAGTAACATTTGCAAACATTTAAAGTACTTTCTATATACCAGGCAACCATCATGGGAATATAGAAATGCATACATTTTAGTTTTCTGCCCTTGCAGAGGCAGAATAATAACAAATCCCTTTTAGCTCAGGTGTGAGGTGATAGTCAAGAAAGGCTTCTTGGAGGAGGTATGATTTGAGCAAAATCCTAAAGTAAGGGTAGGATTTGCATAGCTGGGGAGGCAGAAGGGGAAATTCCAGGTGTGGGCAAAGCACAGGGCGTGTTCAGGGACATGAACATGAGTTCTGGAAAGGGACATCCAGGGAGGTTGATCTGTGGAAATAAGGCTGGTGGAGCCCTGGCTGGGGTGGCTCAGTTGGTTGAAGCATCGTCCTGTACACCAAAGGGTCACAAGTTCAATTCCCGGTCAGGGCACATACCCAGGTTGCAGGTTTCATCCCAGGTTGGGGTGCATGCGGGAGGCAACCGATTGATGTATCTCTTTTGCATTGATATTTCTCTCTCCCTCTCCCTTCCTCTCTTTCTAAAAATCAATAAAAGCATGTTCTTGGATGAGGTTTGAAAACAGCCAGTTTCAGCTGGCAGACAATAAAAATAAAAAAAAGAAAGAAGGCTGGTGGAGTAGGTAGGGGCCAGGTGTTCGTATTAAATAATTCAGTCTCTCTCTCCTCCTCACACCTACTCTGTGTTCCACCAGGACCAGCTACTCTTCTGTGATGACTGTGACCGTGGCTACCACATGTACTGTTTAAATCCCCCTGTGGCCGAGCCCCCGGAAGGTAATGGCGATAAGGTCGACAGTCACATCAGCTACCACTGCCATTTACTGAGCCCCGACTATGGTGCAGGCCTTGTGCTAAGGGCTTTGCATACTTTGTCTCATTTAATCATCACTACCCTCTGAGGTAGGTATGACCACGACCCTTTTACAGATGAAGAAACTGAGGCACAGTTCAACCAGCTGAAATTTCAACTTGAGGACCAAAGCGATGTTTCCCAGACATATGGCTGAGGTGGTGGGAGGTGGGAGCCTCCAGGGGAGCTGGCCCAGGCCCGGGCTGCGGGGTGTGAGGCCCGAGCAGGGAGGGGAGTCTTTCCAACAGTGCAGCACCTGCTCTCTGCAAGGCTACAGACTCCAGCACGTTTTGGGCACTGGGATTTGTTCTCAGGGCTTAGAAGGAGTGAGGGCCCAGGGTGGGGCTGGAGGGTAGGGGAAGGGCTACTGGTAATGCCCGCGTGTTTCTCTAGGGAGCTGGAGCTGCCACCTGTGCTGGGAACTGCTCAAAGAGAAAGCCTCAGCCTTTGGCTGCCAAGCCTAAGTCACCGCAGGCGATGTGCCGCCGGAGAGGCGAACCGGAGCCCAGCGCAGAGCAGACTGAGCCCTTACCCCCGAGTATCCGACGGCCGCCTGAGGACACCGGTCATCAGAGGGCGCGGACGCGGCAGCAGGAGGGCGTGTCTGCTCAGCCCCCGCCGGTGTCTGTGCTTCAGCCAGACTCTCCTGTTTCTCCCGAAGTATCTGCACTTGTGAAGAACGCCCTGGCCCGCGGAGCCCTCTCGCGGCCCAGCACTGCGGCCCTCTCACTGGCTCCCACCGAAGGGAAGGCGTTTTGTGACCACCATCTGTTGTTCGTGTGTAGTTTGGTGATTTCTGTCTGTTGTGTTCTAAGAAAACCCCCCACTGCCTCCTGCCTCCTGCTTAGGCTCTTCATCCTGAAATCGGCAGACGAACAGAGGGCCGCACAGTTGTCATTGCTTAGAAGCCTCCCTGGAAACTTCCCGCCTCAGAGCCTGGAGGCCATCGTGACAGTGAACATCCCCGTGTTCCTGGGCGTCTGTGAAGAGGGAGAGCTGCTGTCTGGACCCGGCAGAGAGCTGCCCGGAGTCATCGCCAGGGTGGTGGGGATGGGGCTGGGAGGACAGGGGAGGCCCTGAGTGGGGGCGGAGACCTGAAGACAGTCCCGAGGCCCTGCAATAGCCAGTGAGTGCTTGTCACCCATTGGGTCTGGCCCCGCCAGGGACCAGGCTGTGCAGGCCCTTCGCCTTCGGAACTGGGGCGGCCTTGAGGGAGACCAGCCCCCACCTCTGGGCAGAGAGACAGATGTAGACTCCGCCTCCCGACCAGGCCGGGTCTCACCCGACCGTGAGTGAAGATATCTGCACAGTGGACAGTCTGGATGTCGGTAGAAAGGACGGCAGCTGGAGAAACCCTTCGGTGTTGATGCGACACTACGGATTCCTTTGCCCAAGTGATTTCTTCCCTCCCCGAGGTGTATGTCTGCCACTGTCCACTGAGGCCTGATTCTGGAAGTTTTAGGATGATCCTTACCTAGATAATGGGGGTGATGCGGTTATTCGTGATCAAAGTGGCAGCACCGCGGAACCCCAGCTCGGGGCCGCTTTGGTCTCCTAAGCTGCCAAGTACGTGCTCGGGCTTGTTTTTGTTTGGTTTTTTAAATGAACTGAGAAGAAAGAGGCGGGGAGGCTCGGATTTTGAGAAGTCTGCGTTGGAAGTTCACCCCTCGGGCTTGAGCTGATTGGGCTGCCTTTGAATCTCAGTAGCAGTGGCAACTGCAGCCTCACACAATCACTGACACATTTCTGGAAAAATCATTTGCCCAAAGGGCAGGTCTCGGTGAGCCGGACCCTCGCGCATGCTCGGCTTCCCTGAAGTCAGCTCCATCTCTGTGGTGTGCTGCTTACAACAAAGGCCGAGGTTATTTTTAGCCCTTCAGCTCCCGAAGAAGCCCCTGGAGACCTGGAGACGGGGTGGTTGGGCCACTTCTGCCCGCTGCGGTGTTCACTCTGTGACTTGGCAGGAGCCTTCCTCCCCGGCTAATTGCTCTTGGCCAGAGGACCCAGGGTGGCCTGGCGTGGAGCCGAGCCCTATTGGTCTCCTTCAGGTCTTTGCAGAGTGACCTGTGGCAAGAGATGAGGGTCATGCTCCTGCAGGGGCCTGTGGCCTTGGAGTGACTTACCCGCATACATAATGATCCCATTTAAAGGGCCCTGTCCAGATGGGATTTCATTTTTGTCAAAAGAGAGCTCCTTCTCCCTGCTGGTTGGTGAACCTATTTTGGATGCTGGAGGCCCAGGGAGGGTTTGGGAAACTGCGGTGTCGTCACATCAGAGGGACATACCCCTTCTCCTGCCTGCTCTGGCTCTCTATCCCCACTCCGAACCCAAAGTGGGGTGTCCTCAAAGGCTGATTATTGGTTTTGAAGATCACTTCAACATAATTTTAGGGAAAAAGTTACCAAAATGTTCCCAAATGCCACAATGGCTTAAAAGTTACAAAAGCAAATTTGAAACCTAGAACTTCGGCCCCACTACTTGATGGGTCCTCACTGGAGTGTGTGCAGATCCGGTCCCCACCTCAGCACAGACGAGGGGGAGGCCTGTCCCACCTCCAGCCACGCCCGCTGCCCACAGCAGCTGTGAGGGTGGGAGCAGCTTGCAGACAAAGGGGCGCTGTAATCCACCACATGGGGGGTGCTCAGGGCTCTGGGATGGACATCACTCCCTGCAGGATGGGCCCAACCCCTTCCTCTTGGGAGAGCAGTTTCCCCTCTGGAAAGGGGCCAGCAAAGCCAGCCTGTGGGGTGGCACTTTCGGGGTTCTGAAGCACAGTCACATTTGTCACTGGTATTAATGAAGGAAGGTGATGGTGAACTTCATATTGGTCGTTCTTTGAGCCCCAGAGAATGAGCCAGAATCATAGGGAGCACATGGACAATGAGGGTTTTAGTTTTGCCTCTGGCATTGAGTAGCTGTGTGACCTTGGGCAAGTCACTCAACATCTCTGAACCCCAGTTTGCCCACCTGTGAAATGGAGGTAATACTTGCCCTGACTATTCCACAGTGACACTGGGAGACCTAAAAAGCATAATGTTATATAAATGACCATTGGAGAGCAGTGCTTGTCAGGGAGGGACCCAAATAATTTCTCTGCCCCCTTCCTAGTGCAAGTTAGCCGTTAGGCCCCTTCTTAGAATCTCTATTTTGACCAAAGGGCGTTTATGTTTTAAGGGCCCTACTGCCTGTGGTCAGGGCCACTAGGTCAAAGCTGTGACAAGGAAACTGTGACTGTGCATGGGTCTGTGGTGGGCGGCGAGGGATTTGCCCTGCGGTTGGGGACTTCAGAATGAAGTTGCTCAAGATACTCCTACCAGATCATGCAGCCTAGAACGGGGAGCTGGCTTCTGGAGAGGCTATACTTCAGTTTAGTGGAACATTCACTTAACATTTTTGGTTTAAAGCCTAGATCCACTACTTCTAGCTGGAGGACACTGGAGGAATGACTTGACCTCTCTGAGCCTCACTGTCCACATCTGTCAGCTGGGAGATATGGCCTATCCAACAGGGTTGTTCCAGGGGTTAGAGGCAGTGCTGGTCAAGTCCTGGCATGGGGCCTGGCACAAAGGTCCCCACACCACAGTAGCTCTTGTCATTGCATACAGAGGTCACCAAGTGGAGGTAATGACGCTGTCGACTCCCAGCTCTGAGCTTTGGAACAGCCAGGGTGCCTTTGTTTCACTCTGGTGTGACTCCAGCCAACCAGGGAGGAGGAGAAGCCACAGGATCCACGCCAGGAGTGGAAACCCTCTGTTTCCTGTAGGTGTTTTTGAAACACTGCTCTTTGGGCCTGCAGCAAACACAGTGCAGGCAACGTGATGGAGACAGAAAAAAGGCTCCTGCTGGGAGGTTTGCATTCCAGCTTCCCTTCCCCCTCCCGCGGACTCATCGCAGACATGGAGGGCAGGCGCCCAGGTCCCCAGGCTCCCTGCCCCTGTCGCTGCCCCAGGGCCGGCAGGACGCCCAGGCAGGCAGCCCAGGCCGGGCATGGAGAGCAGCCTCCCCCGGCTCAGCCCCGTCTGGCGGGACCAGCTAGGAAGTGGGTGGGAGGGAGGAGGCCAGACCCTTCTAGCAGGGGAAGGTAACAGGCTTTAAGGTGGGGGTGGGCTAGGGGTGCACAGCGGTGACTCATGGTGCCCTGGAGAGTTTTCCTCACGTGCATTTTAGACTTTGCGCTTCGAACAGAGCCTTTCCTTTAGGTCCTCCCCTTACAACGTTCAATATTTTAAGGAAGAAAAATGAGATGATGATTATTACTTTTCTAAGGGGGGGGGGGGCAAGTTTAGGGGACAGACCTGTGCTCTTCTGTGTTGTTGAAGAGAGGTTACCGGCAGCTCGGCTCAGGAGAGGGGCCATGTGCAGGGCCGAGCCCTCCTTGGAGGGCCCTGTGTCGCCCGAGGCCTGGCCGTGCGCACCCCGGGGAAGGGGCTGGCCGTCCCGCAGCTGTGCATTGGTCACTGGGAGTCGGGTCGCATCCCCGGAGGGCCGGAGGGAGGCGCACTTCAGGAGGGGCCAGGAACCTGACGTCCACTTTGGAAGAAGTCCCTCAGCTAAATAACTGGGGGCCTGGGTGGGAAGGAAGAATTATCACAACCCGTTTTCCCCCTCTCAAGCCTGTGATTCTGGACAATGTGATTTTTTTTTCTTTTAAAGGCCAAACCTTGGCCCAGTTCTGGAAACCAAGCGAGATCCCACTTTCTTGAGGTCCCCTGGCCTTCGGCTCCCTGTTGGTTGGGGGGCTTCAGAGGGCACATCGGGCTGGAACAGCGCCCTCACCTGGCTGGAGGTGGGAGGTACAGGGGTGTCCTGGCTGGATCCCTGTGGATCCCACTCCCATGGGGAATGTGTCCTTCTGACTTTCTGAGATAAGCTGTGGAGGTCCCTCCTGGTCTGGCTGGGGAGGGGGAGATGGCAGCAAAGGTGGGCTAGACCAGGGCGGCCGCTGTGGGGAGTGGAGGGCTCCCGGGAGGCCAGCAGCTGGGAAGAGAAGAGGGGGCATCCCGGCCAGTCCTGCCTCCTCCCACCTGGCAAAGTGGATGGTTCCTCCCCCTCCCCCGTGTGCTTCCCTGTTTGGAACCTCACCCCCACCCGCAAAGGATGCTTTTGGCTCTCACATCAGCCAGTGTCCTCTGGATCCAGGAGAGGATCGGGAAGGATGGTGGGAAGCACCAGAT